TTTTCCCCCCCATTTTGTTTTACTTTTGCAGCCGCATGGGGTTTTAGGAAAGATTCTTATTCCACTTCCCCATGATATAAAAGGAAAAGTAAAAGACCAAAACATTAAAAAAAAACAAAGAAACCAGATGAGTGTGTTGAATAAACATGTACATGTATGTGTAAGTGGTGACCCAATGAAGTAGAAGTCAAGACGTACCTTAAACTTGCAATTTAGAGACAGACAAAAGACCCAGGAATCCTACCCTCGTAAAACAATTACAGGCTTTCGTTTTACACCACTTGGGAGGATGTATACCTACCGGGGGGTTGCGCTACCCAACCCACTACCTTAGGTTTTTACTTAGTCAATAATGTTATTCAAAATTTACATTAAATTTTTTTTTTTTTTTTTTCCCCCCAAACCGCGTACCCCCCCCAAGCAAGGTGGCCCAAAAAGAAAAAACAAAAGTTTCCTTTTTAAATTTAAATTTATACAATAAATGGGTTACTAGCCCCCTTCTCCCGGCATTTTAGTCGCCTCTTACGACAAACCCTAGCTTTCGGGGGAAAAATTCTTTCCCCTTCCCCATGACTACATTTAAAATACTTACATTAAAAAAATGAGAATTTTTTTGGTCTGAGCATTTTCTCTTGGGTTCTGAGTCTAGGGGAGTAACACAGGAGCAATTGTAATTTGAGGCTGTGGAGTATGAAATTTTGGGGACTTTTTTGTACTGGTACTTAGTTTTTTTGGGGGGTAGGGGGTTTGAAGAAATCTTGAATTGAGTACAGACAGGTTCCTTTGGTACACTGGGAAGAATTCCAATTTTGGGGCCCCTTTTTGTGCATAATTTTTACATAGTGTGAGATGGACAGGGGGAAAACAAAAAGGGGATCTGGCCTTGTTACGGGAGTGTTCCGTTAAGGGTTTGGGGAGAAGTTTGAGCAAAAGGTTTTTTATTTAGTGTAGTGATCAGTAGTTCCAAGTGTTTTTAAAATAAGAATGTCTGGGTGTTAAGACACTGGTAATTTTAAAAACACTGATATTTTAAAACACTGGCACTGAGAGACACGGGATGGAGAGATGCGGGGGATTGTAGGATCCTGGCATTGTAAGAAACTGGGCATTGTAAAATGCTGGGCATTGTAAAGAAGCGGCCATTGAAAAGAACGGTCATTGAAGAACTGGGCACGTAGAGAACGGGGACTGAGAGAACGGGCACTGTAGAGAACTGGGGACGTAAGAAGCTGGGGACTGTAAGAACTGGGCATTTTAAAAACACTGTATTATAACACTGGTATTATTTTAAAACATAATATTAAAAAATTATTGCACAGGATTGTGACAAATTTTCTTTTGAAAATTGGTTGAGAATTTTTTTATGAAGGTAATAAAACAAAAAGTACAAAATTTGATGGAAAACTTATAAAACTGCACTGTCTCAAATTTTGCTGTGTCAGCAATACTTATGCATCAGTGATTGTGCCCACTTTGAGTCATATTTTAGGCCAATTATATTGTTCCAGGCAACCAAATTTTTCACTGTCACTAGTATGTCTTCCATTCTATCAGTTGAGCACAAGAAACCAACCAGTCATCTATTTCAACTATGCAATAAAGTGATCAGAAATTGGCAACTTGTCCAATTTCACACAAATTTCAGAATATGCCAATTTCAAAATAGGGTCCAAAATAAACACTGCAAGTATTCTTGACACAAAAATAACATTTCCTCTGTTCATAAGTTACTTTCCCAGGCTTTATACATGAATTATATTTTAAATTTTTCTTAACACAAAAAATAGATTTACTGTTATGCAATATTGTAATAATTCTATGAATAATGTCAGCACATTTGTAAGCGCATATTAGACTGACCAGTTGGACACATATTGGACGAGTGATGTGATTTGTATACTGTGGAATATCGGCAAAAATTGAATGTTTCCGCTACTTTGTGTTTAATTTTGAGCTACTTTCATTCCTGACACCAATCAAAATCATCTTTATTTCTGTAACATATCTTCCATTCTATTAAATGATGCCAAGAAACCTAGAATACAACCATAAAAACCCTCCGAAAATACACTGCAAAGCCACTGTTTTAAACCAAAAACATGGTCAGTTTTTTTCCCATTAAGCACTGCATTTTTATATGGTTTTATTGTTTTTATATGGTGCACACATACTCCATAGAGCCATTCTCTCATATCTATGCCCAAATTTACCACTCAACTTACCTGAGTGAACTGAATTCACCATGTAGTTGCATGGCCAGAGACTTCAAACCTGTGGTATTATGGCATGGACACTTAACAGGTTAATGTCTTTATTATGCACCCCATACTCATCCTGTGGGCATATGTCTAACGATTACTGAGGTACATAATTGGTCCAGGGACTATACCTCAATATTACAGAGATACATAATTGGTCCAGGGACTGTACCTCAACATTTGTAAAAGCATATTAGACCCACCAGTTGACGTGTATTGGAGGCATGACATAATTTGTTTACATTGAACATTGACAAAAATTGAACATTTCCGCTACTTTGAGCTCAATTTTAAGGTATACTTTACATCGTGAAACCAATCAAAATCATATCTATTATGTAAACACATTACATAGCATATAAACAAGTTACATACACCCCGCAGTATGATAAATTTCTCATAAATATGAGGTGTAGTAGCCAGGTGGAGGGAAAAAATTACATTTTCTCTGGTCCAGCACCAGAGAAAATGTGTATCAATCCGATTTTGACCCAGTCACTCCCCTTGACGCATTCTGCTTTGTTCATAATTCTCGGCATGATTTCTTATCACTTCTTCCTTCATTTATTATGGCACCTAAAGGTAGTTGTTAGAATGATTAAAGTCGATGAACAAGGTATGTTGATGTGCTGCTTTAACCCTTTGACTGTTGTAAGCCCATTTCTGAAACTGTTATTCTGTGTCGCAAAATTTTTGGAAAAAAATTATTTTTCTTATGAAATGATAGAGAATCTATTCACGTTGCTAATGACACCAAAAGTACAAAATTTGATCGAAAACTTACGGAATTATGCTCCCGCAAAGTTAACAATTTTGCCAACTTTGAGCCCTATTTTCACCCAATTCCATTTTTCCCACGACCAACACTATTTCTTTACAACGCCATTTTTTCTATCACTCGAGTTCAAGAAACCCCCCCATTTATTGTTTTAAACTACCCAAAAAGTGTTCAAAAAATTGGAAATTTGGCCAATTTCATGCAAATTAAAAAAGATGCCAATTTAAAAAGGGGTCCAAAATAAACAACTTGGCACTAAATAACTTTCCCTTTTGTTCAATAGTCACACTCCGGGCCCCTCTTATATTACTCTGCTTTCTATTTTTTTTTTTTTATTCACGAAAAATAGAAGTTTAATTATCAAACTCCTTTTTGTAAAAAATGGTATAAATAATATCAGTGCACAAGTGAAAGAATATTAGACTCCCCAGTTGACAAGCATTGGACGTGTGGTGTGATTTGCTTACTCTTGAACAATAGTAAATAACGAACATTTCCGCTATTTGAGCTCAATTTCAAGATCATTTTCTTCGTGAGACTAATCAAAATCACCTTTATTTCTGTAACATAATTTCCATTCTATCAAATGAAACCAAGAAAACAAGAATACAACCATAAATACCATATGAAAATACACCTCAAAGTCAGCATTTTAATCCAAAAATATTGTCTGTTTTTTTTCTCATTATGCACTGCGTGCTGCATAATTTTTTTTATACAGTGCACACTGACCACACGCCCCCATTCTCTCACAGGTGGGCCTACCCCTTTCCTGCTTGATTTGAAGCTGCAGAATTAATGATAATAAAAGTCTGAAACCTGGCTCGAAACCCGATATATATACATGTATATATATATATATATTTTAATATTATATTATATTATATAATACTATATATATATATATATATTATATAAATATATATAATAATATATATTATATAATATTATAAAATTACAGTGGACCCCCGCAAAACGATTCCTCCAATGCACCAAATTTATGAAGTGTATTTATGTAAGTACGTTTGTACATGTATTTTTGGGGGGTCTGAAATGGACAAATCTACTTCACATTTCCTTATGGGAACAAATTCGGTCAGTACTGGCCCTGAAATACTTCTGGAGTGAAAAAAAATCGTTCCCCCCCGGGGGGCCACTGTATATATATATATTAATTAATATAGAGTGGACCCCGCAAACGTTTTAAAATCCGTGCAAGGGGTAATTGTTATGCGAAATAATCGGTAGTAAATAAATTTTTTCCCAAAGAAATAAGGAAATAAAATTAACCGTGCAAGACACCCAAAAGTAAAAAAAAAAAAAAAAATTTTTCCACATGAAATATCTTTTCCCCCAACAAAAAGAGAAGGGATACTGCACAATAGTGGGTATACATGCACAGTTTATATTTGCTTTACTAGTCACAAAGAAGAATAATGACCTTACCTTTTTTGAAGAGCGCAATGACGATGAGACACTGTTCCTGGGATGCTTTCCTCCTGATACTGTAGGTCCTTTTTGGGCATTTTTTTCCCCAGAACGGGGCCTTTTATCACTGTGTTCCCACTAATTTTTAAATCTCTAAAACCAACCCTTTGCGGCTTTAAATTCCCCAAAATAGAGCACTGTTCCAGGCTTTTTTCCCTGTTCACCGGGGTGTTAGTCATTTGTGTGGGTTGCACCTGGGAAAAAGTTAGGACCCCAATGGAAAAAATTTAGACAGTTTCGATGAACTGATTTTTTTGGGGTTATCCTGGGTGGCAAACCCTCGGGGGGTTTAATTGTTTCTTGGTATCTAAATAAGCCACACCAACAACGGGGCTACAGCGCAGCAGCAGCTGACGGAGGTACAGAGCAACAGAGATCACACAGCAGCAGACGATGCTACAGCAGCAAAACATGTTACAGCAGCACAGACGATGCTAAAAGCACAGCACAGCTGACGGTGGACAGCAGCAACGACGATGTACGCAGCAGCGACGATGCACAGCAGCAACAGACATGTTACAGCGCAGCAAAACGATGCTACAGCAGCAGCAGCAGCTGAGGGTGGTACAGCAGAAACAAATGCAAAACACAGCAGCAACGGCTCAGCGAAAGATGATTACAGCAGCAAGCAGACGATGCAACGCAGCAGCAGCAACGGTGACAGCAGCAACAATGATGCACGCGCAACAGACGTGTTACACACGCCAGACGTTGCTACGCCCAGCAGCAGTGACGGTGGTACGCAGCAACAGACATGCACAGCACACAGCGTGCTCAGCACAACAACGAGTTACGCAGCAGCAACGATGTACGCAGCGCAGCAGCTGACGATGCTACAGCAGCAGCAGCAGCTGACGGTGGTACAGCAGCAACAGACGATGCTACAGCAGCAACGACATGTACGCACAGCAACGATGTCAGCAGCGCAACAGCTGCGTGAGCAGCGCAGCAGCTGTACCACCAATAGTAGCGAGGGTTGTTGGGGGTTTTTTTATACAACCGGGCCAGCTCGGAGCACGACCCACTTTCATACTATCAAGACTTTTTCTTCATCTCTATTGTAATTCTCACCCTTTTGCTGTGGGGTTGGAAGAAGCTTTTTTGGGGGCCCATGGTCACTATTTTTCTAGAAAAAGCACCGAAAACACTGAAAAAATACAATTTCCGATTGTAGTTTGGGTTTTTACCGCGGAGGCTGGGGGTAAACAATGCCACCGGGGGAACATGTGAGCGGGGCTCACCGCAATTGGACGCTCTCGGACGAAAACGGTGAGCGGGTTTTTAAGCGGTATGTGAGGCAAAATTTTGGCGATTAAAGCAAGCGGTATGCGGATTAATCGCTATGTGATGCCATCGGTATGCGGGGGTCCACTGTATATATATGGCTGAAACAATCAAAGGGTTAAGTATCATACGGCTATGTAGCCTGCCTGGGCTACATAGTTACACCTTACGACTACCTATACCTGACTTCTTACAAATCCTCACCTCTCACCCTACATTAAAGACTACACATATTTTACGGTAAGTAATGAGTGTACTGTCGCAGTTCTTTTTATCATTATGCACTTCTTTTTATCATTATGCACTGCATGCAGCAGGATTTTTTTTTATGTAGGGCACACTTACTACACATACCTAGCGTTATATGAAAGGCCAAAAATTTTTCCCAAAGCCCACGCTTATGTGATAGCAGAGCTCATACAAACCTCGGGTTCAAAGCCACCTTGTCTTTTATGGACAATGTACAGTGTATGTGCTTTGCCCAACGAGAAGTAATCTTTATTCTTTGGAACCATGACTAGGGCTAAAAGTGAGCAGGTTATAACAAAAGGGGAAAGAAAAAAATTGGAATGATTTTTCAGCAAGTAGTGCCACCAAAAGGAGGGGCAGGTTGCTGTGGAACCCCAGAAATTTAAAAATATGCAGCTGAAATTAGTCCCCGGATTACTGATTTGCTGGAAGTGAGGGCCGTCTTGTACTATTTTGTGCGTTTATATAGCATCTGATATCTTTTTTTATTCCCCAAGCAATAAAACCCTGTTTGTGCCCCTGTCTTGGCTATTTACATATAGGTTACATGGGGTTTAAATTTAAATTTAAACCCTCTTGTTAGTATTTCCCCGATAATTCATTATTTCCTGTAATGTTTACATGAGGTAGATTGCGGATCTTTTTTTTGTCTCATAAACATGCAAGATTTCAGGTTTTCTTGCTACTTCTATTACATTTTGGCACAACACATGCATGTTCAAGATGTATATACACTTACCACCGATTTGCGCCCCGAGCTTGGTTCCAACAAATGGTCGTTAGTCAAAATGGAGTAAGTAAAACCCTTTACACTAAATTTTTCAGCATCACATTATGTAATGTTTTTATTTTTTTTATTTTGTTATTGCATTTTTACTTTACTTTTTATGCTATTAGTAATGTATTTTTTACTGTAAAATTTAGGGGAAACATGTGTACAACAAAACAGTTGTTTATTTCCAGAACATCTGCATACAAAAAATTGTCGAAGTCGGGTGGTCATATGTCAGCAGGTCGAAGTTTGGGTGGGAGGTGTAACACCCTCTGGGGTTTTTTCTATTTTCTTACTAGTTCTTTTTCTTGTTTATTTCCCCTTTTTTCCCTGGGGAATGGGAAAAGAATTTTCCTCATAAGCCATTGTGTGTTGTAAGAGGCAATAAAATGCCAGGAACAAGGGGGAGTAACCCCTTTTTCTGTATTCGTTACTGAAAATTTTAAAAAAAGAAATTTCCATTTTTCTTTTTTGGGGGCCCTTTTCCTCAGGGGATTGGCCCCCGTTTGTTGAAAGAAGAAGAATTCTTATTTTGCCATATTAAAATTTAAATCTGTTCTTGCGATGCAAAAAAACCTTTGCGTGCGAGTGTCCCCCCATGTCAAGAAAGTTTCCAGTGGGGTTGTAAGCCAGTCAATGTCGAAAAAAAAAAGGGCATGCCTTGTGAACTTTGTAAGGGAGAAAGTTTGGTAGTGATACAAATGTGAACTTTATTTTAAAAGTTTTTGTCCTGTTCTGCTCTCACCTAAGGTTTGGAAAAGTAATTAACTTTGTACGCGCCCCCAACTTTTTAACAAGGGTTATGTTCCAGAAGGGTGTTCGTATCTTTAAAATTTTTCATAATTTTTTTTGCCATTTTCTATTGTTCGATTTTTATTTTAAATTTTTTTTAAAATCATCTTATTATTTTGTTCTCTCTCACTGTTGTTCATGAAAATCCTAAAAAACAATATGTCAGTATCAGTAATGTATGGTTCTTAAAATAAAGCATTTTTTAATAATAAAACTATAATAAAAAATTTTTTACCTTTTTTTAAATTTGGAAAATAAACTAACCAGAGTTTTTGTATGTCCCAATTTCAAATCGCGTTTGTAAGTAGGGAGTGTCTGTACTGGTGTTAATGATAAATTTTATTTTCCCTTAACCCTTTCGGGTCGAGAGCCCTCTCCTAAACTTTTTCTCAGGGTCAAAAAATTTTTTAAAAAAATTATTTTTTTTTGGAAATGATAGAGAATATTTCCCGATCATAATGAACCAAAAATATGAAAATTGATGGAAATTTTTCAGAATTTTGCTCTTGCAAGTTACGGGCCTCGAAAAATGTTTACGCATCGGCGATTTGGGCCCAATTTGAGCCCTATTTTTTGGGCCGTTCCATGTACTGTCAACAAAAAACATAAAAAATTTCACGAACTACAATTTTTCTATCGAATGATACAAGAAAACCCCTTATTTACTGATTTCAATTATCCAATAAAGGGTCGAAAATTTGGGAATTTTGCAATTTCACCCAAATTTTAAAAGATGCCAATTTTAAAAAAGGGGGCCAGAATAAAAAACAGAATTCCCGCACTAAAATAACATTTCCTTGTTCATTAGTCAATCCCCCGGCCCTCTTCATTTCTTTTTTCTTTCCCCCCCTTTAATTTTTATTCTCAAAAAATAGAAGATTTACGTTTTGCAGACTACTGCATTAGTGTAGAAATGGAAAAATAAATGACACACTTGTGAAAAAAATATTAGAACACCATTGATGTGTATTGGACATGTTGGTTTTTTTTGTTTACTTTTTAAATTTGGCAAAAACGAACTTTCTGCTACTTTTGTTCAATTTTAAAGGGACATTTCTTTGTGAAGGTGTAGGTTGGAGCAGCAACCATCCCGGGGAAATACTACCGTCCCCCGCCCAAAAGACTGGAAAAAGAAACCTTAACTGTTTTTTCTGAGGTGGATTTTCGGGTTTTTTTTTCTGTTCATAATCACGCTAGATAACAGGGGTATCTTGCTACTCCACTTACACTTTGTCACACTTACAGACACGCACATCTAAATTTTGCTAAATTTGGTTTTTCTCTTTTTTCTAAAAAGCCTTTTTCTTTTTTTTCTTTTTTTGTCCAGGGGAAATGAAAAGAATCTTTTCCGTAAGCCCTGCGTGTCCCTTTGAGGCGACTAAAATGCCGGGGGGATGGCTAGTAACCCCCTTTTCCTGTAGAATTACTAAAAAAAAAAAGAAAAAATTTATAAAAATGGGGTGCTTGAATGTGGGGGGATGTAGTGCGGGTGACAAGAAACAATGATTGTGATGTTTTAAAAAAAAAAAGTTTTGGGTGTCGTGGCCCCAACCCAAACAAAACTGAAGGGGGTAGGGGGGTTTTGGGGGGGGGGAAAAAATGGGAAATTTAAATTGGGGTATTGAGAGAGTTAGAGCTAAGGAAAGGGGGGCAGTAAAGTTTTAAGGATCAGTTTTGGAAGGAAAAAGGAAAATGAATGTGTAAATTTAAGAATTATGTGGATAAAGTAAAGGGTTTGGGGTGAAAAAGTGGGTCATAATAGCGTGTATGCACCTGGAGCAGAAGGAATGAGAGGGGAGAGAGAGATTTTGGGGGAGATGTAAGTAATGATAGGGAAACCCTTTTAACCAAGTGAGAGAGTAATTGTTTGGTAGGGGACCCCGAATCTAAAGTGGAGAAACTTTTAGAGAGGGTGTGGTAGGAAGTTTGGGGTGCCCGGGGGAAATGAAAAAGGGAGCCCTTTGATTGAACTTTGTATAAAAGCGGTTTAGTTAAGGTAATTTTTTTATTTTTTATTATCCATGGGCCCTTCCCCCAAGGAGGGTGGCCCCCAAAAGAAAAACTTTCACTATCATTCACTCCACATGTCTTGCCAAAAGGTGCTTTACCTACAGTTTTAAAAATGCAACATTAACACCCCTCCTCAGAGTGCAGGGACTGTACTTCCCCTCTCCCGACTCAATCCGGCCTGCCCTTTCCCTGAACCCCTTCATAAATGTTACTTTTTCTCACCTCCAACAGCACGTCAAGTATTAAAAAACATTTGTCTCCATTTTACTCCTATCAAACACGCCATGCATACCGGGAAGTCCAAACCCCTGCACACAAAACCCCCTTTCCCCCTCTCTCCAACCTTTCCTAGGCCGCCCCTACCCCCCTTCCTTCCACTACGACGATACACTTTGAAACATTCTGTTTCGCTCCATTTTTTACATGTCCGAACCCCCCTCAACAACCCTTCCTCAGCCCCCCGGGGCAACAGTTTTTTGGGAACCCGCACCTCCTCCTAACTTCCAAACTACGAATTTCTGCATTATATTCACACCACACATTGCATTCAGACATGACACCTCCACTCTCCAGCCTTCTCCTCGCTGCCCCCAAAATTTTCCCCCCATGCTTCACACCCATTAAAGAGCGGGGAAAACTTTATTCATACTTTCCCCCTTTCCT